AGATTGCAATTTCACACTGCGCTATTCTCGAGTCTCCCTCATCCCTGGAATGCAAAAAGTCTTGATACTGATTGCTTGATCACAGAGGGTCCGAGACTCTCCTCAGGGTGAGGGTGCTTGCTGTGAGGGGATGAGTATTTAGTTAGTATAATAGTTGGGTTTTTATGAGTTCAAATCGGAAGTTCCTTTGCAAGTTGAAGTCTGGGTCTGGGCTGTTCTTCAGTCTCCATGTATCTCTTGAATGCAAGAGGATATCCGATGACAATGACTGACTGAGATTGTTTGCTTGCAAGGAGGCTGAAGCTGGTCGTGTCAGGGGAACCCTCTGATTTAGTGACACAGCCGCCATGCCACCGTCGAAGCGGAAATCCGGGGGCGGTGGCAGTTCTGTTGCCTCCACGAAGACACCCAAGCGTGCTGCCAGCTCTGGATCCTTGGGGACTTCGGCGATGGAGAAAACTCCGACTCCAGAGGAGCTTCACATGGGCCGTGTGAGCATCTTCAATGCCTGGTGGTGGGCCACCCAGCGTGCTGCGTGATTCAGAGAGACAGAGAGGATGCAGTGGCTCAGCCTCCTCCCAGCATGCAGCCCTCCCGTTAGGGATTCCCGCGTCGCGGAGTTCAAGTCAATGGAGGATTACATGAACTGCAAAGCCTTCGAGACCGAGGACCGTGACCAGTGGCTGCAATGGGGTTGGGTTCGATTCAGGGCTGCTTGCTGGCGACGGGCCTCCTGCACCAAGCAGGAGTCCTTGGTGAAGTTTCTCAAATGGGTCGACAAGCACTTCCCCGAGGAAGAGGGTGTGCCAACGGCTCAGAGCGTCAAGTTTGCCATTCCGTGCTGATTTTTCGACTCCGTGTTGCAATGGGTCTTGTTGCCAGCAAGGTGCTACTGCAAGGCGATGGACTTGCAGGAGGAAGGTGTCGTGGCTTTGCGGCCGTGGATGCTGACATATGATTCCAAGCTCGGCATGCGGGGAATGGCAGAGCCGGACTGACAGCATCATGATGGTAGCCTATGTTGAATACTGACTGACATGTGGTTGACTGTCCAGCCCTCTCCAGGATACCTTGCAAAACCTGTGTCAGCTTCTGCTGATCCAGGGGTGCCGTGGTTCCACTTTGAATTTGGCAAGACATCGTAGCGCAAGCAGTCGTGCACGCTGTGATGGTCATGTCGAGTGCATGTTTTTGTCAGTCTCTGACCCAATCAGAAGTGAAATTTTCTACTTATTTTCAAGGTTCTTGACGGACGCTGGCATTCCAGGAGTCGAAAGGCTCGCTGCAAGCTGCATCCGACCGGAGTTTGGACTGGCGCCTCGCTTCCTCCTGAGCACATCAGCCATCCGTTCGGACCTGTGCGGCATGCTGGCGCCGATGAACGTTCTCTTCGTCAAGGGCTGGACGAGGTCGCTGGCAGCATTCACAGTCCTGCTTGCAGCTTACGAGACCAGTGACAGCAGCAGCAGCGACGTCGCCGCTCGCAGCTTGATGGAGGCAGGGATCCGAATCTGATCAATATCTGGGTTGTTCGCAACACATGACATGCGATGTCCGAAGCTGACGCAGGAGTGGCCAGCCGAGTTGCAGAAGCTGCTCCGCTGATGATGGTTTAAAACTGGTTAGCTTAAAATGGTTCACCTGTAATTTAGCCTACTAAAGCCTCAAGGCCTTGTTGCATGCTTAAGGACAAAAGCTGAAAGGTCATGATGACAATGATCGTGCCCACTAGTCGTGATCATGTGAGGCTGGATGTGCTCTGCCCAGAAGGTAAATTAAATTCAATCAAAACTCATCGTGCGAGAACCGTTTGCCATAGCCGTGTATTGTCGTCCAAGGACCTTCTGCACTGCCTGGGCCAATGTTGCTTGCACCCCTGGAACTGATCCGGCCACCATTGTGCTTCAAAACCGAGGCCGGCCCAAGTAGAACAACTTGATCTTGGTAGATTCCACGTGCCGTGCTGCTGCACACTGCCCGTGGAAGGCATCACATTGCAGAGCACCGTTCGGCGGAGACCGAACGCGTTTAACCTGCTGACGCAGATGAGAGTGTTGGGCAGAATGGGGCGATCTCCAGACGAAGGGATGGAGGCCAAATGTAATGAGTATCAAGAGCAGCAGCAGTCAAGTCATCATGTCGATGTGGTCCGAAGTCACACTGATTCCAAGATTGTGAGGCGTGGCAGAAAGCCAGCGACTTGGCCACCGTTTACCAGATCGGCCCCCTTGAAGCCAAAGCTGCTGCGGCGCTGTTGAAAGAAATCCCCCCGGACATCGTGGAGAAGCTGGCCAGTTTGGTGAAGCAGCTGATGTGGAATAGAAACTAATTAAACCGAATCTCCTGTATAGCTGTGCTTGCAGACTCCATGTCCGGCAGCCGCAAGGCAATTCACGATGGTTCGCTTCATTACCCACGAGGCGTTGGGCTCCGGCTTCCTCAGCACTGGCTTCGCGGCAACGGGAGCTGCAGCTGCTGCCTGGGCCGAACAGCTCTTGAACACGAAGGACATCATCAGCCTCATGGTGGCACGCATGGAGGCGGACTATGAAGGCGCGAGTGCGAAGTCGCGCAAAGCATGGACTCCAAAAGAGCTGGACTGACGGTGTAAAAGCATTGCCATGTGAGCTTCGGTTGCTTGCTTGTACCCGTGTTCTTTTCGAGCCGAGTCGTTCCTGCAGACAGGAGCCGCTACAACGATGCTGTGCGATGTTCCTACATTGCATGAAGTTGTTCCGCCGCGACTATCCGGAGGCCTTTGTGAAGGCGCAGGAGGCGAGCCTGCAGAATGCGTTGCAAGTCTGCAATTAAGGTCACAGGACGGGGTCTGATGTTGCCCTGCCTGCGGTTCTACGCTATAAGGTTCATGCGCAAGCATGCGGATGCAGAGCTCTTGACGACCGTGGAGAGCACGGTGCCTCCGGTTTCGCTGGATGCTGTTGGAATCTTTCGAGCCAGTCTGAGCAAGTACCGCAAAGAGGCCCGGCCAGACTCCAGTTAGTTTAGGATAATAATAGTGGGTACTGACACTGAGACGGACGGTTTCTGTGGGTGACAGTCAATTGGCAATTGAATTGGCTTTCTATTTAGTACCGGAGGGGAATGCCATGCACAGTCAGGTGCAGGAGCAAAAGAATGCAGCGGACATGGAGTAGCTCTGACAGCATTTACCGTGACAGGGCCTGTTGTTCAAGGTTCGCTGTTACATGAGCAACAAGTTGAGGATTGCGAACATGATGCAGAGTGTCAACGTGAAGCAGAGCACCGCGAAAGTCCACAATGACCTTGAGCTGCTCCTGCAGCACAGCAAGGACATGAAGGATCAGGCGATGCGGGAGGCCCTGACCTGTCGGAGTCGTGTCCTCCAGATGCGACCGTGACCTCAGGTGTGCCATGCATGACCTTGACTCAGTGTTAGATTTCATGTGAATGGCAGGGGAAGCTTGACTTGATGTTCCTGCAGAAACGTTGCGAGAAGGGTCGACAAGCCGCGGAAAGCTTCCTGCAGACCTCCAATGTGTATGCCTTGTTGCCGAAGGGCATCGCTGCAGACGGCCCAGCAAACGTGCTTTCTTGGCGACGCAACTATGCTGCGAAAACACCACAGAAACTTTGACTTGAAATTAATCTGTAACGTTGAAGGATCGAAACATGTCGCATGTTGTTCGGAATAGCAGAACAAGCATACCCTTCTCCGGACTTCCCTTGACTTGCTCGAGTCCTGCTTGGATTTAGAGCATCGTCCGAATTTTCAGGAATGAGACCACGATCCTGGTCATGGATTGCTCTATCTGGCCAAGCCGCCGCTGTGCTTCAATGTGCTGAAACGCTGCAGTATCTAAGAAAGCCACTGACAGAGGAGAGACAGACAGTCTGTGGGAATCACCGGAGCTCCGATGCTGCTGGATGATGCGCTCGATGTTGCCAGAACATTGATGTTGCACAGCACCAAGACCGTGCTGTGGGTCCTGGGCCCGCAGTACCACAGTGCTGTTGACAAGAAGAAAGTGGTCGCCAGCAAACGGTTTCTGGAGGACAAACTGTCAGAGTAGCTTTGCTTGCAGTTAGCCAGGCAGGATGCAGTGTGGATGATTGTACTTTGCAAGGTCTTGTAGAAAGCTTACTACTCGTCGTTTCGATTCGGCGGCTTTCCAGGCAGATGGAATACCTGGAGGTCTCGCTGATGTTCCAGGAACCCAGTCACGGCAATGACAAACGACGAAGAGTCCAGAATTGCCACTGGGCTCAATGTTGGTGCCGGGTGGTCTTCTAAATTAAAGCTTCTTGCTGGGTTTGACCTCAAGTGGTGAAGTGGTGTGAGCGTTAATCGATCGAGGAGTCGTTCATGGTGTGGGCGACAGTGACAGGCTTCAGAGGGTCGTGGCATTGACATTCGTGGCATGCATTGACATGTGACCGAATGTTCTTAGACTTAAAACGAGACACTGAGTGAGTGGCAGGTCCAGGTGAGCTGTCGTCGTGTGATGGTTCGAGTTGCATGCGGTCTGCAGTCTTAGTCTTAGCCCAGAATTGTCGTTGTCATTTGTTACACGGTGCGTATGCACAGACCGCCTTTAATCCCATCCAGCCACATACCGTTGGCCGGGCGTAGACGACAGAAACCAGCTGTATGTCAATTTCTAGTCTTAAATAGTTAGAGCTTTTCACGGGAGGCCAGCGCACGATGATGCTGAATTTGATTTGGCTCTTCTCGCCTGTTGTTAATGTCTGCTTTTCTGGAGCAGCGTCCACACTCGGTGGGTGATTCGAAAACATTCGGGCCAATTGATGTGACATAATAAGCCCTGCCCTTGTCAACAATGATTTCTGCTTGATCCAACTTCAACTTTCGAAAAGTATTGTGTGGGGATACTTGTCGTGAGACTCGACTTGGTTGGGATTCTGCAAAGCGGCTCGTCGTCCGCATCCCTCTTAAGAGCTATCTGTGACTGGGAGCAAAATGAAGCAGTATTACCGACGTGAACTGTGACACGCTTGAAATGGGTCGTTTGAGTTGCCAGTCAGTCCGAGGCTACTTGTGCAGTTCCACCGTGCACGCGAAATCAGAGCAAATCGTCCACAAGATCAAGGCCAGCAGAGGCTACCTGGGCCCGATTGCCCGGGCCCAGGTGAAGGATCTCTGGGGCAGTGATGGTGATGGTGGCGTCACTCCTAGTGACCGGGTGCTTCAGCTTGTTAATGAGATGCCAACGACAGTTTTGCGAGCAACACGTCAAGCACTACTGCACTCAGGCAGCCCAGAGAGGTGTGAAAGGAAGCAAGGAGATGCTGTTGGGCTTGGTGGAAGGATTGGACCTGCAGAAAGGGCAACAAGTTCTCGTGGTGGATCTGATGACCAATAGGACCCAGGGGCGTCAAATAATTGTAGAAGCCGATCTTGACTAGTTCGTAATTTTCGATTGACACTAATTGAAATGGAGATCAGTGACCGAATAATATTATTTCAACCGTCATTATCCTCACTGACTGCTGATTGCAGATACCAAGAGCTCGGACGAGCATGCTGGGATTTGCAAAAGCCGCTGTTGGCCGACTCGGGCGCGAACAGTCTGGACTGGAGGTTCATGAGCCTGGCCAGCGAGGACGATGAGAGCTTCGCAAGCGTGGAAACGAAGCGCCAGCACCTCATGGGGCTCTTCCTCAAGGACGTTCTCAGACTAAGTCATTATCATGTGGGTCTGTCCGGGGCATGCTGCAGAATTCTGTAGATGCCAGGAGCATTGGGATGACAGCTTCGAAGCAGGTCCGAAACAGCGGCCAGATGCAGTCGGCAGGACGCCGACGGCTCCATCACTCACCATCCTGGCCATGAACGACGGCGTGCCCAAGTCCCTGGGCTGCACCTGCTGTCAATGCAAGTCAAGCAAGCTCGAAAGCCAAGATGCCGGCACTGACTGCAGGTTGCCAGAGATGCTGGTGGAGTCATTGGGGCCGGCTGGCCACGATCTGGAGAAGTTGATTGCTAAGTTTCGCAAGGACCACGCAGCGGATCTTCAGCACCTGCAGGCGCAGTCCTCCGCATCCCCCGTGGAGCGGGGCAGTGGCAGTGGCAGTACTACGCCAACGCCGACTCCTGCTCGCCGAACTTCCTGCGTGCCTGTGTACCTTGACGGTGAGGAGATCTTCGATGCCGCGCACCTCTGGCTACCGGAGGATCCGCTGGAGCGTGACAGAGTTGGAGTCGAGTAAGACGTGATTTGGCCAGCATCTTTCCATGTCATGTCTGAAGCTGCCGTGGCAGTTGTCGCTGCCGTAGTTTCATGCCTTCGAGGATTCAGAGTGGGTTTAAACATTTAGGATCCTGGCCCGCTGTGCCAGCACGGTATCGACAAAGCTTGCGGTCAACATCACCGACGAGAAGATCATCTGGCTTGTGAACAGTTCCGATGAAGAGCTCACCGTGGGGCCAGGGGAGCTCTTTGGGTTCAACCTGAGGGTCTTCGAGGAGAAGCCTGTCGGGTTGCTGGGGGCAGCCAAATCCAGTCTGCCCTTTCTCCTGAGCAGTGATCGGCAGCCTCTGGTGCACTTGAGGCAGGACTCTGGCAAGGTGCTTACGACAATCTCAGGGTTGGCGTACTGAGCGTACTGGCTCACGACTACAGCTGGCTTCACTTCCATGGACGTCGTGGATCACACGCTGGCGCCGCTTCAGCACGAGGCAGGGTCAACGACCTACCATCACGAGATAAGTAAGTGATGCATTGAATTGACATATTGTAAAGTGGTCAGCAGCTTGATCGCTCTGAGTTTGTCAGGGCTCGCCATTGCCCTTCCGGTACAGCATCCCGCCCAAGCCGAAGGTGAACATCTTCAGCCCGAAAGCCCTTCCGACCGAGACAAACTTGATGGATGGTGTGCGAGCCACCCAGATTGGTGCAGTGCTGATGGACCACTTCACCAATCTCCCCAACAGCCTGAAGTACTCTCTGGCTTGGGAGGCCGGTGCTTGAGTCTGTTTGAGTCTGTCTAGTCTTAGTCGTGTTGCATTGCAAGTGGAATTGATGGTTGCATTGTGCAGCAGCAAGGTGGACTGCTCCGTGGGGAAGCCGGTCGAGGCTCGCAAGCCAAAGTACTGGCTCTTGTGCAAGCTCAAGTTGCCCGCGAAACATGCGGTGAAGCTGAGCTGAATATGAGTCCGATTGCAGTGCGAAGCTGAGTTCAGTTCTGCAAGCCGTTGGACTTGGAGTCCCTGCGCATCAGACAGTCAGTATCAACTTACTCTAGAAAGCATACAGCATCATCATGATCTATGGTGTTAAGGGTACCGGATTTCTCCTTCTGATGGCCAGTGTCGGCCGCAGCAAATCTGCCAAGATCATGCGCAGAGACTGACTGCAAAAGCCCGGCCATCCAATCTTCATTTTGCAGGTATTGCGATAGTAGCCTCCGGCGTTTTTTTCCATTGCAACTGTGCGACAGGAGGGCCGCTTTTAGAGCACCCAGGCCTTGCAGCCTGCCCTTCCGATATAGTCCTTGATTCTTGATACTTTCCAAACCCATGCCCCGAGCCTTTCGGAGTTACATCTTTACTTTAGGGCTGGCAGCAAGGCGGTGTCATCAGGCCATCGGGCGAAGAGACGTTGATAACGTGCCACGCTGCGTGACCAACTCTTCTGATGTCTTCTAGCCTGACAACGAGAGTTCAATGAACTCTCGTTGTCAGGCTAGAAGACATCAGAACTGAAGGAGTTGCATTGTCTAGTAGTGTATCGTCACTGTCACTGCAAAGTATCATCGCAGATTTTGCCATCGAGCCGTAAGCCGGACCGGCAAATGTCAGGTTTCTTTTGTGTGCTGGCAGCTGCCATGCCGCCTCTGGCCCCGGTCGAGGAGCTGAGCGATGATGCTGCACCGACAGTAAAATCGGGCGAGCCACCGAAGGGTGCAAACGCCGGGAAGGCAGTGGGTGAAGAGTCGAATGAGAAGCCCAAGCTTCCGAAGCCGATGAAAGAAGTTGCTAAGGCCAAGGCCAAAGCAACTACGAAAGCAATGGCCAAAGCCAAAGCAAAGCAGCTCCGTAAGAAGCCTGCTGCTGCTCCAGCAACGGTGCGTGAGGATGATGCTGAGGATAAGGCAACAGAGCTGCCGGAGCCTTCCAAATCGGAAAAACGGGTCACGAAGAAGCCTGCTTGTCGTGCTGCGGCTGATCCTGAGGATCCGCCAGAGCCCGAATCTGGAAGTGCTTCCAAAGGTCAGAAGCGGAAAGCCTACAAGTGCTTCTATGCGCGCAATGGCTCGTATGGTATCAAGCTTGACACGAAGCAAGTCATGAGCGATATAAGTGATTCATCTAGGCCCGGGGGGCGTGACGCGCAAGAGGGTTCAGGGCATTTGGAGCATGGGTTCCAAGCCCTGGACTTGAAAATGATTTGTTGTAGTAGGGTTTGATTATTTTTCCATCGATCAGTCAGCGCAAGAACAACAGCCTCTCCAAACAAGTATCGTCCCTTCCCAAGAAAACGCGGCACGTTTTGGAACAAAATCGTCGTGAAAGCTACAAACCTACAACTTGTGATGTAGCCAACCCAAACTGCAAACCGCAAGCAAGCATATCTTCCTGACTTTGTCGGCTGTTTTATGAACTCGAATTCCGCGATTTCTCAGCCGCCGGGCCGAAACTCGATTGGGAATTGGGAATCCGAATCGCAGCACAGTTCAGGCACATGACTCACGTGACAGTGACAGCTTGACAACTTATCATCCAATCTTGCAAGAGGACGTAGGCAGTAGGCATAGCCTAGCTTGCTTGAGGTGTTACATTGGATAAGCCAAGATAAGCCAGATCTTTTCGTTGTGTAGTGTCATAGTGCTATGGCAGAGCCTGCCATCTTTAGGCTTCCAGATCCTGGGGACGGTGAGCTTGAGGACAGAGAGTCCGAGTCAGAGGCCGAGGAAGCTCCCAGGTCTGCAGGTGCCCTGCGGACTGTTCGATATAGGGACAGACTTCGAAATGCTTCCCGTGCAGAGGTTTTGTTTCTGTATGCGAAAACCTGTGGCGACGAATCAGAATCTCTGGGCACCGCTGCTGCAGGGAATTATTTGTTTTGTGTTGCTGAGCTTGGGGGAAAATGCATCAAGCCGTTGGGTGCCCAAGAGCACTTGCAGCAGCAAGATACTTGGCGAGCTCGGCGTCAGAAACGTCGCGATCGAGATTTCGCCGCTAAGCAGATGTCCCTCCAGAACCAGACAACCCGAAACCAGATGTTCAAGTGCTGTTTGAAGTCTCTTTTTCGTTTCAGGGCAGCTGTCCAGTTGGGGCCTGCCCAGGCTGCAGTGGCAGGTGCCTGGTGCCGGGCACCTGCAGCTGCTAACCAGGGTGCGGTGACTCCTGTTCCTGCGATGCCCGCCTTGGCTGGCAGGTTGGCGGTTTTGCCTGCAGGGCAAGCGCAATGGGTTTTTCAAGCTGCTGCGCCAAGCGTCATCTTCGAAGCCGTTGCAGATCGCCAGGGCCTTTACACTTGCTTTGCAGACGGACAGGCGGCGGAGCCTGAAGTAGGCACTGCGAGGCGTTACCTAGGGCGTCCTTTCTGGATGGTTCGCTTGCCACCAACTGTCATGAAGCATTTGATGGAGATAGGCAAGGAGTTCGTGGTTCCTGGTGGGCTTGTGACTTCTTTGGGGCACCAGTTGCCCGGAACCGTTCCTGCTGCGGCAGAAGGAAGCCCCAGTGATGGTGCCGACAGTGGTTCCTCTTCCTCCTGCGAGATGAAGAAAGTGCGCAGGCCGGCCATGCAAGAAATCCTGTTGGGAAAGCTCGCTTACAAGCTCAGCTCAACGGTAGGCATTCAAGATGTGGTTCGCACCGTCCTTCGAATGTTAGTGCCAGATAGTTTAGGTCTGGCAGACAACATGAAAGTGTCGCATGGGCATGTGCGGAATATCTTGCTAAAGCTTGATGCCTTGCATTCCTTGTCTCGCCGGTTCCTTGCCCCACCAGGTGGTGGGGCAGACAAGTCGCTGCGAATTGTCAGGTACATCAGTCCTGACAGTTCCCCGCAAGCGAATTATGATTATTTTTGTGCGACAGAAGAGTTGCTGCTCTATCGTTCCGACGAGCTTCCAAGGGATGCGGGTGGAAATGTAGCTCCTTTCAAAGGGTTTGAACACCAGAGGCGTTCGATGTTGTGTACAACAATTGCGAGAGGACAAGGAAGCACAGCTTCGAAGGCAAGCAAGATGGTACATATGATTGCCGTTGAGAGTGGTGCGTCTCTCTTTGAGACGTATCGTTCGGAAGTTCGGGGCTTCTTAAGCGATCAAGGAACGGAGCGAGGCATAGCATCGTTTCCAGTCCGCAGTTGCTCTGAGGTCCAGAGTATTGTGGGCGCTCAAGCTTTGGCGAGCGAGGCAATACAGGAGGATTTTCGTGAATTGCCGCTCTTTCATTCCGCTCTACACATACCGGGAACACTACACATAGTGTTTAACGCACTGGAATTCAGCTTGAAGCAGCTTGAAACCTGGCAAAAATTCGAGAAACAGTTGAACAGCATCACCCGTGTGTGCAAAGAAAAGAGTTACTCAGAAGTAATTCTTGTGAGAATGATGAAGCATGCGAGCCCCGAGGAGAGACGGTTGTTGCATCGGATGGATGACCTCTTAGACTGGAGGTGGGATTCGCTCGCAAGAGTGCTGAAGGTTTGGGTTCCTCTATATCCCACCTTCAAGAAATATTGGAACCCAGCTGTTTTTGGTGGGGACAGCTCGTCAGTCACAATTCGAGCTGTGACGGAAGCGTTGGCAGACGAGTGCCATTTCGACATGGCAGTGTGGACGCATCAGTTCTCTGCCGAGGCCACCAGGCTGGCCCACTTTTTCGAGGGTTGTCACTGCCATCAGGAGCAGCTGACAGACCCAGAAAACCGGGAAAAGATAAACTGTTGTTGGAAAGGCAGGCGCTTGCCTTGGCTTGCGGTTGGTAATCTCCAGGGAGCTTTGCAAGATGCCATGACAAACAACGAGATTAGTGTTCTTGCGCATCTCTTGTCTCGTTCTAGTGAAACTGCAAGTCGGATGGCGCACATGGCGGACACGTGCAACAAAGTATTTGTTGCCGTTATCCAGCAAAAGCTTGCGTATGCTCAGCAAGTACCATGGGTGTTTGCCGCAGCGTTTGCGGGGTATATGGGCGAGACTTGGGGCCGAGTGAAAAAGGTTCTTCGGCCACATCTTCAGAACGTTGACAACATGATCTCCAGTGGCCAAGTCGGCGCTCTAGACTCTGTTACACATGCTTTGTTTGGACCAACCGACACAGGCCGCATGCTCCGAGAGTTTCTGAACTCGGAGGATGACGTGCCCCTTGATCGATGGCCAGCGTTGTTTTGGAGAGTACAGGAATATGCCTTTGTTTCTTTGTCCGAGCGACACACGGAGAGAGAGCATGTCGGTGTCAAGGTTGCAGCAAACCGTGGTCTCACAAAGGCTGGGCCTGCAGTTGTCTGCAGCCGCAAGCGCAGAGATCAAGTGTTGGAGATGCTGGAAGATGAGAAACAGCTCGCTTTCTTGGTCAAAAATTGGCGCAGCAGGCGCCTTTGGAGTAGCCTGCTGGAGCACATGCTCACTCACGAAGAGGTTCGACTTATGGAGACGCCAAAGAGGCTTTCCCGCTTGTACGGGTATAGCGAGGAAGACCACTTCAAAGATTGCGAGGACTCTGTTCGTGCTGATGCCGTTTACCGCCAAACTTTGAGAGATCAGACTTTGTTACTGGCCGGAAGCTTCAAGCTTCCGAGTGCTTCCTACCAGGTAGTGAACTGGCTGAAAGGCCATTTGGCGACGGGCGTGTTTTTCAGTGTGTCCACGCATGTCTTTGAGCTACTTGTCGACAGGGGTCGGAGATGTGAAGACCCAGCCGCATCCTTCAGAACCGACGTGCTGCTGTCTATTCTGCGAGCCGACGTCCACCCTCGGGTAAGTGATCGTGCTTCGGTTTTCTGCTCGGTGCTGG